CAGGTTAGGAGTCTGCCCTCAGCCTGGCCTGCCCTATTCTGGGTTTGCCCTCTCCTGGGCCTGCCCTCACTTGGTCCTGCCGTCTCCTAGGCCTAACTTCTCCTGGTCCTGCCCTCTCATATTCCTGTTCTCATCAAGGACTGCCCTCTCTGGGCCTGCCTGCTCCTGTGCCTGGCTTCTCCTGGGCCTTCCCCCTCCTGGGCCTGCCCTCTCATGTTCCAGCCCTCACCAGGGCCTGCCCTCACCTGGCCTTTCCTCTCCTGGGCCTGCCCCTACCTGGGCATGCCCTCCCCTGGGCCTGCCCTCATCTGGTACTGCTCTCTCCTGGGCCTGACCTCACCTGGGCCTGCCCTCTCCTGGGCCTGCTGGGGACCTGGGGCTGGCCATGAGGAGCTGCCCAGCACACAGCCCCAGCCTCGGTCTGGATGGCCCTGTGTCTGATGGCCACCTCTCCACTGCACCCTCACAAATGTCTCAATCTCTCTTTGCCATACAGCTGGCTTCTAGAGCATGGCTCAGCAAGCCTTTTCTGTGGAAGGACAGAGAGTAAATATTTTTAGCACTGGGGGCCTATTCGATCTCACCTGCAGCTACTCCCCTCTGCCACCATCTTGCACAAGCAGTCCCAGATGTCACAGGAGCCAGTGAGGCTGTGCGCCAACCAGACTTTATTTGTGGGTACTGAGAGTTGAATTGCATGTAATTATCATTTTTGTCACAAATATTCTTCTTTGACTTCTTGTAACCGTTTATAAATGTAGAAATCATTCTTAGCTCATAGGCCTGAGCAAATCAGAGAGCAGGCCAGATGTGATGCAGGGGCCCAGAGTTTGACTACCCTGCCCAAGGGCAAATGATCCCCCAGCAGAGCAGAGGCCTAGAAGTGTCATTTATGGCCTAGGAGTCACACTCCATGGAGTCCACCATCTCCCCGGGTTTCACCCTGTTCGATGTGAAAGGAGATTGTATGGGGCCCGGGCACCAGGAAGTGGGGCCCCCCGGGGTCTCGGGGGCCAGCTGCCGCACCCACCCAGCCACTCTCCACTTTGAATAGCGCGGCCGCTGCTTTTCTGTCAGCCCATCATAAGAAAAATCTCCTCTCAGAGCAAAATATAAGCAATGGAGTGTGAGGAGGGACGCCCGTTGAATTTGCAGTGAAGTGTCTGGTGCCAGAAGAGAGGCCTGCTGGGGTCGGCGGTGTCTTAGCAAGCTTAGAAATGGTCCGAGAAAGCAGGTGTGAGCTTTGTCCATGTGGTTTGGGGGTGGAGAGAGGAGGGGCAAGGCTTTGCACTTCCTCTTTGACTTGGGTGAACAGTTGTCTCTGAGAAATCTCCTCGGAGATTTCTGAGGGACTCCTGAAGTTGATCCGCCCCAGGTGACTGGAGTTTTAATATTAATTTAATATGCCTGGGAAGCAGCCCCCTGCCCTGGGAAAGGCAGTGCACTTCCCGTTCCCAGCATAGAGTGATGAGGAAATTCACACGGAGAGGTTACCCTGCGATATTAAATGTGTAATCCAGGAGGCATTTCTGCTTTGCTATCCAGAACCCCCGTGGCAAATTTTCTCCCTCCGAAGAAAAGAACAAAATGAAAGGAGGCAAGTTGGTTTCATAGGGAGTGTCTCTGTTGTCCTTGTGGATTTATGGATGAGTTCAGTTAAGGAAGACGTGTTCTGGGAGAGCGGCTCTTTTATTACAGAAAATGAAAGAATGGATTCTTGCTTCTCTCAGAGAAGACAGTCAGGGCCCCGAGCCCTTGGGAGTTGCCTGAAAACTCTGCTGGGTCTCCACGTGGGAGAGAATCCACTTCAGTTGTGTGGCTCCAGGGGTGTGAACAGCACCCGGAGGGTAACGTGAGGCGGGGCAGCTGGTGGACCTCAGCTCAGCACCAGGAAGACGCTGCAGGCCCTCAGCAGGGCCTCTGGGCAGATGGAGCCGGGCCCCCCAGAGCAGCTGACAGTCCCGACCCCCTCGATGGCACAAGACGTGGGGGCTTTTGGAGGAAACGCTGCACGGTCCCTGCCGTGCAGTGTCCAGGCCTGCAGGTCCCAGCACCTGGGGTCAGTGTGAGTTGACTGAGCAAGCGGGGGAGACAGATTCGGCTTGTGGTTCGCGGTGGGTCTGTATTTTAAATTGACAACAAGGTGTGTTCTCACCCTTCTCCTGGGCTCAGGTCTCCATACTTAGGCCATAAATGTCCTGAGCCCCTCTGAGCATGCGCTCATGGCTGCCGGCTCAGAGACGGGGCTGTGGGGAGCCGTCCCAGCTCTCATCACGTCCGGGGACGAGCAGGACCGGACCCTGCTGCTGTGGGGTTCAGGTGAGAGCAGGGGTGTGTGCCCAGCACGACCCTTCGGCCAAGAGCCGTATTCTCTGTGGGTACGGCTTCCACAACATCACAGGCCAGTGCCCCACTTGCCAGGGAAGTCCTCAGTGTCTGGCGTTCACAAAGGAGTTTAAACTTTTTAGCCCAGAGAGTCCTTGACTCATGAGTGAGTCTGAAACATGGAGATGGGTGGTTTTCCACTTTTCAGACGTGGCTTTCCCTGTCGCTGCTGAGACCCCCCCCCCATGCTGGGAGCCCTGTGCTGGTTCAGGGGGACGTGAGTAGGACCCAACAGTCAGGAGCAGCCCCTCCTGCCCAGCCAGCCTGTGGTGGGCTTGCCCACAGCCCACGCGCCCCGCCTTTGATCTCTGCCCTGAAACAGCAGCCTGGGGTGAGCAACCCTGCAGGCCCCGTGCCCCTGCCGCTCCTGGCTGAGAAGCGGTCATAAGACCGTCCTGGCGGTTGGGTGTCCGAGCCCCGCAGGTCCTTTCTGGAACGAGTTCTCTTTGTTGTGATAGCCATCACGTGGACTGGGCTGACTCGGGTGCCAGGCTGCCGCAGGCATCCTGGCCTGGGGTCGCAACCAGCCTACACGCAGCAGGGCCAGGGGTGGGGTGGGGACAGTGAGCAGGATGAGGAAGGGAAGCACGGCTGTCCCTGGGTCGTCACACCCTGACCATCACCCGGCCTCCTGGGGCCACCCTTTGGTCTCGCCCCTGTCCCAGGTGAAGGGCTGTGCGCACGCACGCCCACCCTCCAGCAGTGGGGGTGGGTTCAGGAAAGGACAGCCCCAGCTCACAAAGCTGTAAAAAAATGTGTTTTTAAAGAGGAGTTTTATCAGCTCATAAATCCTTCTAGAGTCTACTGGAAAGTTTTCTTGTGGAGATAGTGTAAGCAAGGCTTTGAATCTCACAGAGTAAAAAGACTTCCTTTTATGGGCAGTGCTGGAAGGGATGTGACGCTGGAATGGTTTACAAGTGGTGTCACGGGGCTTGTTTGTGCTCAGATCACTCAGTCCCTCCCCTGCTGGTGGCACCTCCTCGGCCACAGGGGCTGGGACCCAGGGGCACAACGTGTCCTCAGCTCTGACCATGTTTCTATTCAGGGAGAAGCCAGCTAGAGAGGAAATTGCAGCCAGGCCATGGAGAGGGATTTCGTGTATTTATGACTCTTTTTAATTTTTATTTTTGGGGGATCCTTTTTCTTAGAAAGTGACGGAGGTGGGGCATGGGAGGAGGCCTGTTTGCCCTCTGACCCAAGGAAGAGCTGCCGGTTTATCCCCGCAGAGCCCCCTGCATCCCTGCAGCTGCCAGGCAGGCGGCGGGAAGAGGGAGGATCTGCTGGCAGGACTCCGGCTTCTCTTGTTTAGGTTAAGAGAAGATTCCTCTTTCTGGGGTATGTGGCGTTCAGTGTCACCACAGCTTTCACAGAGAACTCCATCCCTGCTCCACTCTCACTGGTTTGGGGACCTTGGACAAATTATTTAATCTCTTGGTCCTTCCGCTTCCTCATCTACAAAATGGGACATACTGTGCCCCACACCTTCCCAGACTCATGAAGGGGAAAGCAGTTTACCCCGTAAGACTTCCGAGAGCACTAATTAACTGCCATGCAGGCGGGGTCGTGACCTTGCGGAGGTGGTTTATTTGGAAGGGAAAAACCTAGTCAGTTTTCATGTTTTGTCTAATTCTTTCTCCTCTTGAGCAAGGGTGGCAAACTTTTTCTGTAAAGGGCCGCACGGTAAATATTTCAGGCTCATAGGCCAATGTCAACTACTCAATTTGTAGTTGTGGTTTGAAGGCAGTCCCAGACCATATGTGAACAAGTGGGTGTTTCTGTTCCAATAAAACATGATTTACAAAAGCAGATGGCAGGCCTCTCTCCCACTGCCACCCTCCCTCTAGGTCACATCCTCTTCCATCTGACCTGACCTGGTGCCTTCTCCCGCGTCTCTCAAGGTACCTGGTAGAGGAGCTTCCCTGGGCCCCACGGGCTTTCTATCCTTGGACTTTTCCTGGGGCCAGACTTAGGCTGGTGGTTGGTCTGTCAAGTGCCAGCCTGACAGAGGCCGGAAGCCAGTTTGGGGTGCTTGGAGCTTCCTAGAGGTGGGAAGTTCCATTAGGCCACTTTTACTGAAAAGCACTTCATTGGCCAGAAGTTATAAAACAAAACACAGGATGGAATTTTCTGGAGAATAGAAGTGGAAGGGAAGGGAAACCTACTCAGAACTTGCTCTGGCCTGGACGTCTGTGCATCCACCCTCCCTTATGCTCCCAAGGTCTGCTCAGCTGGACCCCTGCAGCACCCCTCCTCCCATGGGCCTTCCCAGCCCGTCGAGCCTGGGCCTTCCTGGGTCGGGCGGCACCGTCCTGCCTTTCTCTACCCGTGTGTAGTTCCTGCCCTCAGGGGCTCAGGCCCACTGGCCGGGCTGCTCCCTGTTGCCACGTGACCCTGAGGACTTCCCTGCAGCGGCAGCCCGGGTGCCCTCCCTGCCTGTCCCAGGACTGTGCAGGGACCCTGGCACGGGGCTTTCCCTGCTGGCTTGTTGGCATCTGGCTCAGGTCCTCGCTGGCTCCCAGGCCGGCTCTGCCACCGCTGGGCACACAGCGAGCAGCTTGAGCCCCAGTGCCGGGGGGGGGGGGCAGGGGAGCACACGCCCCTTCGGTCTTGTAGCTGTACCCTCCCCCTGCCAGCCCTCGGTTCTCTGCCAGTGGTCCCTCGCCACCAGGGGGAGCTGAGAAGTAGTATAGGTGGGATTAAGAAAGAGATCACTGTGGGGAAAGCTGTGATCACTCCTTGACCTTATTAGTGAGAGACCGGAGATTTCTTGTATTCTAACTCTGGAAATAATGTTTAATCAGTGGCTGCAAGAGATGCTTTCAAATCGAATTCCTGTAATAAGCAGTCTGTGTGAACCTGCTTTTGTGAACCTGCTCGTGTCCTTGTCTTCTCGGGCAGTGGGAGTTTGGGTTCTGTATCGTGGAGGGTCCTGGGTCCGGGTGAAGTGAATGCAGCCATGGGATGTAAGTTAGGAGAAGCTGAGGGCTGCTTGCACTGTCAAGACAGCCAGAGGCCCAGAGAGGCAGCAGGACTGTTTTCGGCACCAGCACCCCCGCGCGGGTCGGGAAGCCGTGGTGGCCCCCGAGGCTGCTGGGCTGCGTCCTCCCTTCCAGCGTGGGCCTGTCTGCCTGTCTCCCCGCAGGTTTGAGCTGATGCGCATGTGCTGGCAGTACAACCCCAAGATGAGGCCCTCCTTCCTGGAGACCAGCAGCAGCTTCAAGGACGAGATGGAGCCCGGCTTCCAGGAGGTGTCCTTCTACTACAGCGAGGAGAACAGGCTGCCCGAACCCGAGGAGCTGGACCTGGAGCCGGAGAACATGGAGAGCGTCCCCCTGGACCCCTCGGCCTCCTCGTCCTCCCTGCTGCTGCCCGACAGACACTCAGGACACAAGGCCGAGAATGGCCCTGGCCCCGGCCCCGGCGTGCTGGTCCTGCGAGCCAGCTTTGACGAGAGACAGCCTTACGCGCACATGAACGGGGCCGCAAGAACGAGCGGGCCCTGCCTCTGCCCCAGTCTTCGACCTGCTGCTCCTGGAGCCGAGTCCCGGGCAAAGAGTAATGCGCGCAGGCTCAGCGGCGGGTGGGGGGAGAGCGCTAACAATCTATCCGCAGCCTCCTGTACCTCAGTGGATCTTCAGAACCGCCACTGCTGCCCACGGGAGACGGCTTCTCTGCAGTGAACACATTTGGGATGTTCCTTTTTTCAATATGCAAGCAGCTTTTTATTTCCCTGCCCAAACCCTTAACTGACACGGGCCTTTAAGGACCTTAAGGACAACACTTAATAGCAACCGACGCCCTGAGAATCGGGTCTCCTCACACTCTCTCTCTGTCTCTCCTCCTCCTCCCTCTCATCTCTCTTTCTCTCCGTCTCTCTCCTTTCTCTCTCTTCCTGCTTCGTGATGGAAACACACTAGCCGCAAGCCCAGCCAGGACACCTTTTTCTATTGGGTGGCCCCACGTGGCCCCTGAACACACCTGCTGTTCACCATAGGTCTTTATAAAAAAGCATGTTGAGACGGAATTTTGTAACTGTATCTTTAACTTTTTAGGGACATAGGGAATTTAAAAAGGGCCATCATCCAAGGTCGGTACCGTGTTAACACTGCCAAATTCTGCCCAACCCCCAAACTCCCTCCCCCACCATCCCCGCGGGAGGCCCCGGGTGAGCTAAGGGCCACGCCGGTGATGCCCTCTTTCTGGCCATCCCCAGTGTCCCTTCCAACTCTCATGTTCACACAGCTCTAATTGCTTTTGACTAGGTTGTTATTTGGGGGAACTGGACAGAATGAGACTTTCTCTCAGTGAAGATGGGGGAGAAGCTGAACCAGCTTCCCTGGCCCTTTGCGTACCCCCACCTTCCAGCCCCCAGGAAATCTGGAGAAAACAGGCCCTGCTGGGAGCCTGGAAGACAGGCTTTGAGTAAAGGTCATCTGCGTGCCAGTCTCCTGTCCTCGCCCCAGCTCCCTCTCCTGGCCCCCAAGGACACTGATGGGAAGAGGCTTCCAGGGACTCAGCCCAACTGTTTATGCAGGTTTGCAAGGAAAGAAATTCAAACACCACAACCACAGTCCAAAGAAAAGCAGTAAATGGATTCAAGCATTCTAAGCTTTGTTGACATTTTCTCTGTTACTAGGACTTCTTCATGGGTCTTACAGTTCTATGTTAGACCATGAAACATTTGCATACACATCGTCTTTAATGTCACTTTTATAACTTTTTTAAGGTTCAGATATTCGTCTATACGTCTGTACAGAAAAAAACAGCTGCTTTTTTTTTGTTCTTTATCTTTGTGGATTTAATCTATGAAAACCTTCAGGTCTACCCTTCTTCCCTCTCTGCTCACTAGAAACTTCTTATGCTTTGTACTACAGTGCGTGACTTTCTTCCTCTTTTCCCAGTAATTGATACTTCTATAACATAATATGCCATGAACTGTTTGATGCCTTTTTATAAAGACATGCCCCCTCCCCAGCCCCTGCCCCATCAGTTCTGTCCTCCCCGTAGGCTCTGTGGGCACGAGGCTGGTGGGGGAGGAGGCAGGGAGGGGGCCCCACGGGCTCCCCTCAGCCTGCTCTCCCGCAGCATCTGAGTCTGTTACAGTACAAGACATGATACAAACTCAGGTCAGAAAAAAAAGGTTAAAATTTTCACACATCCTTGTTCAGTGTTTATATTCACCATTGTTGAACAGTCTTACCTCTTTCCCTTGCCTTTGTTTTTGGTTGTGACACACATATCTCTATTTTTTAATTCTTGGGTACAACAGCAGTTTTAACTGCATACACTAGGCATTTGGATTACTATTTTTTTCAATGGCTGTCTAACCCTTCCATCCCATGGATAACGCTGCTGAGTCCAGGGGTGCAGCGGCCCCTCTGTTGCCT